CCCGGAGCGCGGCGGGTGCCCTGACCGTGGGCGCCGCTGCAGGCACCTGGGCGAGGCCTCGAGCATCCCGGCGGCGGCTGCTGGGGCAGATCTGGACTTGGGGACCCCGCAGGAGCGCACCCCTCCGCCCCACGGCTCCAGCCGCCGCTTCCCTACGCTCCTCCTCGGCGCGCGGTCCTCCCCCCACCCCCACCCTCGTGCCCTCCCTCCTCCCACCCCGGAGGATGCGCTCCCCCGCGCCCAGCGGCAGAGGCCACCGCTCCCAGAAATGCGTGCGCCCGAGCCACTTCGCCCGGACCCGCGGAGCCCGCGCCCCCGCCCAGTAGGTAGGTGGCCGAGGCGGGGCCCGGCTTTGGAGGCCACCCGCTGCTGATGCTGCGGCCAGGGAGAAGCGGGGACGCGGCCGGCAGCGGCCAAACTTGCCTCCTTCTTGGGCTGCCAGCGCTCCGAGGTGTGCTAATGGCGTTGGGCGCAGCCCCCGGGGGACCTGAGACGCTCTGCTGGAACGTTCGAGGCCGAGCTGGGGCGCAGGGGCGCTGGACCCTTCCCGCCAACATTCTGGGGGGACCCTCGGGTTGGGGGGTGGGGGTGCTTGGAAGGACAGGTTGGCGCGGGGCTTCTTCGGGGAGGAGACCGTTGCCTTTTGCACTAGCTCAAGTAGACGATGTCATTGCATTTTCAAAAAAGCAAGATCAGCAAACGCGTCCTTCCCATCTCTTTAAGCTAAAATGTAGATGAGGAACGGTGTTGTTTTAGAGGTATTTAGGAGGGGTTGTGGATATTTGTGTGCTTTACGCCTGGCCGAGTGGTATATAAAATCAGTGGTGCAAACACTTTATTTTGGGTGCCAGTGTAAGGCAAGTCCTTGCAGAAGTCAGATTATTCGGGTGATGGATGAGACCGGCGTGTTCTCTTAGGATAAACCAGAGGGGAACTGATGGATCTGAGAGCTAGCTGCAAGTTTGATACAGGTGTCGGGAGTTGAGACTCTGAAAAGATGCGCTTGTCAACCAGCAGAGGCAGTCTTGTCTCCCTATCTCCAGCCTCACTTCCAACTCCGAGCTGACCTTTGCCTTTTTGAGAAACGGGTTGAGGTTGAGTCTTTTTTTTTCCCCCTCCTTCTGTTCTAGAAGTAAAATATATAGATTGGGGCTTTTTTTTTTTTTAAGCAAGATTGTTTCCTCTCAGGCTGCATTTTTTTTTCATTTTACACTAAACATTAAGGTTTAGAATTTTGAAAAAATGAATCATTGTAAACTCCAGTTTTATAGGCACAATTTCGGATTAGAGATTTTGGCGAACTGAATGAATATAAATACCAAGGAGATAGAATACCCCCCCCCCCGTTCTATAATTACCCTCCTTCGGATGCCTTATAGCTGTTTGTTGGTTATTTGTTGAATGAATGAAATTGCATTTCAATATATATATTTATAATCCCGACCATTTAAAATGATAGTATGTTTTGTTTTGTTGCTAGTGCAATTAACTGTATTTTTAAAAATCGCTTCTTTCTATAGACAGGCAGACTTGGTTATTTTTTAATTGACATTTGTGGCCCAAGCAGCGAGGAAGGCAGTCGTTCCCTGTTTAGGTTCACATCGTGCCCATTCTCCAGCATTATAGCAATCGATTCCCTTTCAATTCTACTTTCAAAAACAATTTAGAAAGCAGAATTCATGTTTGGAGAAAATTCTTAAGTTATTCCAGAAGGAGCAGTGATCTGGTTAATAAGTAACAACTTGTTTTGAGGTTGGGCTGTGGTTTATTTTTAATATGTTTTTATTAAAACTTAAGCGAAAACAAAACATTTAAGAGTCTATAACTGCAAAGTGACCTCACAGATATTAAACAGATGCAGATTCAATTTTTTTTTTTCTTGTGGTGCTAGGGACCAGATCCAAGATCAGGCCCAAGGCTTCCAGTGTTAGCTTGGTCATGTTTCAGCTACATCCTCAGCCATAAAAACAATATTTTAGATATTTTCCTCTATAAAATGAGATATTTGGAAGGTCCAGTGGCTTTTCTGCTTCCAAATGTTATTTTAGGAGAAAAAGAGAAAAAATAACAGAAAAGATCAAGCTAGACACAAGGACCACGCCATCACCCTCTGTTGGCTTTACTTTTACACTATGAAAGTTTTGATATATCTTTCTTTTCCTGTTCCATAACCCTAGTGAGTCATTATTTACATCTTTTCATTCTCTCCTCAGCACATTTATCTGACAGGGAATACCTTCTAGTCTTCATGCATCTTCTTCTCCTTCCTCACTACCCAGAAAATTACCCAGAATCCTCATTTTCACACACTATGGTAAAGCGTAATCTGTTGCTGTTTCTTCTCTAACCTAGTTGGAATGTTTCAAATGGGTGAAGGAAAACTTTTAGATATTAGGTAGGAAGGCTGAGGGAGTCGTGGGACAAGAACTTATGAGTAAACCAAGTTGTTATAATTGGTGAGAACAAAGCAGGCTCCCATCCCCGATGAAGATACGGCTATTTTAGAGTCTTATTTATAATCAAGGGTATTGAGCAAATCATTTGCATTTTTCTCCCCAGCTCACTTTTTAAAAGAGCCTGTGGTTTACAGTACACCTTTTTGCTTCTTTAAAAATTATTTTTTTATATGTGTATGGGGTGTGTCTTTCCTTGACGATGTTTGTGCACCTTGTGCATGCAGTACCTGTAGAGAGCAGAAGAGGGCATCAGATCTCCCGAGACTGGAGTTAGCGTGGTGAGCCACTGTTTGGAATCAAACTCAGGTCCTCTGCCAGTGCTCTCTTAACCACTGAGTGCCCCGCCACCCCCCACCCCACCCCGCCCCCACACATACATCTTACTTTTTAACTTCTGGACAGTTATTTTATTCATTTAGCAAGTAGAACTTGGACATTTTCACAATGTGCTCTATCTTTATGCTCTGAAGTAGTCGACCAAGTAAGAGCCTTTTCCTCATTGTAGAAGGAATCTTCGTTTCTCTTGTGTTCTACATCCAAATGTAGTACCTCTAAGATGTGATGACTCGCGTGTTGGGGCTTGCCTCAAGAGCCAGCTGCAACCCTGGGTCCCGTGCACTGTAGCCATGAAATTCTAAGCCCGGATGTCTGCATTTTGTCCTTGTGGATCTTTCTCTTGCTGTCATTTTATGTGTTTGTCTGTATGTTTGGTTTAAGTTCTTTCAAGACAGGGTTTCTCTGTGTAGCAGCCCTGGCTGTCCTGGAACTCTCTTTGTAGACCAGGCTGGCCTCGAACTCACAGAGATCCTTCTGCCTTGGCCTCCCAAGTGCTGGGATTAAAGGTGTGTGTCACTACACCAGGCTCCTGCTTGGCCTTTTTGAAAGCTGTCTGTTCTTTGTTAAATGTGTACTTTTTAAATCTCATTCCTAATTTTCTTTTTAAATTAGGCAGAATTCTCTCAATTCACATACACTACATTCAAAATTGTGGGAATTAGCATTATGGGAAAAATACACAGAAGTAAATTTTGTAATCGTCAATGTCAAATGCAGGAGATGTATGGCTGAAGAAAAATAGTTGTGCTTGTCTCCTTCACTAGGTGCATGAAATGAATTTGTTCCTACACTCACAAGAGAATATGGATTGTCTTTAAATTTGATAAGATTGGCCAGGTGGCGATGATGGCACATGCCTTTAATCCCAGCTTTCGGGAGACAGAGGTTCAAGGCCAGCTTAGTCTACAGAGCTAGTTCTAGAACAGCCAGGGCTACACAGAGAAACCCTGTCATGAACCCCCCCCCCAATTTTTTTATAAGATTAATTGATAAAAACTGTTTCTAGATGTTCAGTGGAACAAAGGCCTTGCCATCTACCACCTTAATCTCGGCTAGACCAGGAGTCTAAGGGGAGCTTTTCAAACTGAGTGACTTGGTTTCCCTCTTCAGCATGCTTGACACCCCCACCCCCCACCCCCCGCCTCCCTTGTGTGAACTGTGAAGGATTCATGCAGCGGACCATGGAGAAGAAACTACTGTTAGATCACTTCATAGATTTGATTAGGGGAAAATTCCATTGAGCCCTAGGTGCCAGAGCCAAGCCATGCCTCCTCCCCTGAACAATTACTATGTGTGACTTTATTTCCATTTTGCTAGATAGATGTTTCCCTTTATGCTTTGGTGACTAGGAATTCAAGAGTGAGTTTTGCAGCTCAAATCTAATAACCATGTGAAAAAATGTATCATTAGTATTATTGTTCTAATCCCCCCTCATGTCTTTTGGCTGTTCTACGCTGTTTCTCTTGATTCTGATTGTTATCCAATTTTAATTCTCATATTTTATTGAATTACATTATTTCAGATGACTCATCCTTAATGGAATAAGAAAAAATACAAAGCATTAAGCCAAATAAATGAAGGAATAGCATAGCTGATCTCTGGACACATGGTGTTTCTGATGAACACATTGCAAATTGGTTACATTGAATGAGTTTTGAGCCAGTATTCAAATTTTGATACACTGGTGCTTGTGTATACAGTCAAATGCGAAACTATCATTCGGTTTTATAAAACTAAATTGCAATGTTAAATTCTACTTACTTTTGAACTGTTGGATGAATGCACATCCCTAGCTATTTGGAGTTGGTGAAACCTTTCGACTTAGTTCACTTATATCTGGACAATCTGCCTCCTAGCATGCATT